CGTCGACCTGTTCCCCGAAACGCGTCTGGGCCGATAATTAGAAAAGATTCCATCAATGTTGAGCTCTCGAATGAATATTTATCACGTCTTATGAGATTTTCGTACAAGAAGAAATTCGATTCACGGCTAATAACTTGGTTCTAAATTCTTCAATATCGATGATAATCATTTGTTATACTTTAAGCTGAAATTGCCGGATTTTAATGAAGCATCGATCGCAATTAACTCTGTCTTTCTTCTATCGTTTTGAATAATTGTTCGTCAAACGTAAGAATATTTTTGGTATTCTCTGAATTAATCCCAATTAATTCTATCCTTATTCATATATGAACTACTCAGAAGGCAAAATGATTAACTCCACTTTAGAATCAAAGCACATGCTTAACTTTCCATAAATGAAAACAATTTAATAAATTTCATTTGGCGAAGTTGGCCATTTGGCTTCTGAGCGACTCGTCTCATTCATCAAACACAAAACAATGAAAAATATATTATGAAATCTCCATAGAAATATTTTTGGCATTCTCCAAATTAATCGCAATTAATTCCGTCCGTATTCTATCGTTTCGAAAAATCATTCGTCAAAAACAAAACAGTGAAAAATATCTATACTATGAAATCTCAATAGGAATCTCCATAGAAATATTTTTGGTATTCTCGAAATTAATTCTCTTATTCTACCGTTTCGAAGAATCATTCGTCAAACATAAATTAGCAAATAAATAATGAAATAAAATAAAAAAATTACGAACCAAATCTCCGTAGAGATACATTTGCTAATTTCTAAATTGCACGAATTGCAAACTTTCAACGGACGTTCAACGATAAAACACCGGGCTAATCGAGGAAATTTCGCGGAATAAATATCGTTAATGCGGATACGATTTCGAATATAATCACGTTCGAATTTAAGATTCATGGGATCGACACACTTGCAGAGGGGGGGCGGATGGATATTCGAGTTGAAAGAGGCCTCGAAACGTTAACAATGGCTTTCGAATGCAATTTTATCAGGCCGTGAGCGCTTGTTGTTTATTCAATTGTTGCGTGTACACGGAACAAAAGCCACAATCCGTGCATTTATCGCCGGCAAAATTCGATTGTAATTTATGACGATTCACGTGCTCATTAACTGCACGGTATTGAATATTACTCGATGCGAAACGAGATCGCGAAATAAACGATCGGCACCCGCGGTTGGACATGTTCAATGAAAACGGACGCATCGTACGTCGGACTAAGGTAAACCCGATGTTTCCGCGTAATACCTCGGTGTTGTTCAACATAAAGGATCATCGAGGCTTGATGGAATCGTGATTCGTTGCCGATTTCAACGGAATTCCATTCCGTCGTTCCGGATTACGTTCAATTTGAAGGTGGACAAATGGTGCCTACCTACATCAATAAACAGATCTACATAAGAAAAAATTTCAATAATCTCATTGAAACAATGTTTCAAAATGACCAGATAACAGACGTAAAAGGTGTTTTTTCCTCGTAACTCGAGGTGCGCGCGAGAAAGTCGAAGCTGTTGGAGCACTTTGACGGAAAAGCGACGGGCACGCGGCCTAAGAACGGCCGTAAATTTGACGCGCGCGTGTAAACGTCCGCGAGGCAGCGCGTAAAAGCGTCGCGCGCGTCTCTTAGCCTCATGCATAAATGCATCGTTCGCATTGGTAGACGCTGATACACGCAGCCGTCGAGCGCGACCCCGCGTCGCGGAACGACTGCCATCGCGACGCCTGCAACCGGCAGAAATTGCACTCACAAAAGTCGCACCTTTTCGCGAGTTATCCTGCGGACCGAGTTCCCCTTTGCGTTCCTCAAAATCGCGTGAAAAATTAATTTAAGAGAAAAGAAAACGATATCGACATCGAATGAAACGAAGGAGTAAAGAAAAAACAGGGATGAATTAATTAGGAGAGTGAGAGATAGGCGGAAGTAAGCGAAGAGGCAACGCAGAAGTTGAAAAATATGATAAATAAAAGGAGTGACGGAGGAGAAAAAGTGGCGAATGAGAGAAATTACGAAGCCGCATAAAGAAAGAAATTGGAGATGTGAAATTCAGAATGAGAATCTTCTTTCAGGCTACGATCGAATATTTCTCCGTTATGATTGAGAATAATATTCGTAAAATGCTTTGCCTGGATTTTCGCTGGTTATCTGAGAATCGCTATCTTTTTATCAATTAACCGCATGCTACTTGGAAGATGGAAAGATAAAATTTCACCGGAGCTTTTCATTTTCTCTCTGAAGAGAGAAATTCGAAAACCAGGTGACTGTTATTGCGATGAAATTTATAGAACCGGTTACTTACGTTGCGTAATATTGACAATCAACATTTCGCGATTATTTTGATGATTTTTAATAGAAATCGATAGCCAGTGCCGTGGGAGCGTATCTATTAAATACACTCCATTTTGATCTTTCGTTATAATAGAAGAATTCTCCGAATTTATATTTATTATTATTTCAAATTTTACGTA